GATATTACGCTTAAGAGTTATGATGTCCAATAGTCTAGGAAATATTTTTACCTAGATGTTACTCTGTCGAATATCTTGTTTTCAAAATAAACATAATTATAGGGTATATATATGTTAAAAGATTTATATATATATATATATATATATATATATATATATATATATATACACACACACACACACACACATACACACACAAAGATAATTATGAGATAAATAAATAATAACTATTATATATAATAAATGTATATAGCGATAATTATGAAGAGTTTTTATAAAATAAAAGATTCAAGGCTACTTTGAGCGTAGCTATGAAATTGCTCGTTTTGCTGCCTTTAGTTCTACACTCTGCATAGGTCAATCGGAGGTTGACCATTAATTTTTAACCAAATTTGACTCTAAGTCAACTAGTGGATATTGGATTGTAGTCTAAGAACCTGGTTCCTAATTATTGAATAGGTGACTAGTAGTACTATTTGGATTTGCAAGAGCTGTTCTGTTTGTCTGTTAGTTTGCGAAATGAGTTTTCTCACTATACTTTGTATTCTAGTATATGTCATTGTGTGTAGGATATTGTTATGTTGTCGTTTGTTGTTACTCTAGTACATTTGCAATGATTCCCTGTGTTTGCTTGTTATTGTTTTGGTGCGTATGTCGACATAGTGCGGTTAGGTCGAGGCGGTATGGCTTTGTGTTGTAGGCCAACAAACCTGAGCAATCCAACCATATGCAATCTAGTCTTATGACTGTGGGCCAATGGCAATCCAATCTTGTGATTGTGGGCCCAGGGCAATCCAGTATGATGACTATGGGCCCGGAGGCAATCCAGTTTTATATTGTGTGTCTAATGTACATGCATTGTATATGCATTGTTGTTTGGGGTATTTTTGGAGAACTCATTAAGTTTTGGCTTATAATTGTGGATTTCAATGTTTTTAGATTCTTCTGATGATCGGGGCAAGGTGAATGTGTGCTCGTACACATCCTCCTGCTGATTTGTGTATTGAGAGATTATTTTGAATACTCGTATTTTTGTGGATTTGTTTTGAACCAATGTTTATCTATCTCATGGTTTTGTGAAAAATGTCTTTTAGAAATGAAAATTTTCATCATAGTTTTTGGGATGATACAACTATTGTCAACTTGCTCCATAACCTAATTGAGTTCAAATTTCATAATATTAATTAGATCATATTATCTTCTAGATGCAACTTCCTCCCTACCAAATCAACCAGCCACAAAGACTTTTTTTTTATTTACTAGCAAGCAATTTCATACCATAGTTCATCAATTGGAAATGTTGTGTGGTACATAACGCTATTTGATTATTTGTTACGACCATCTAGCATCAAAATATTCTAAATATTCAGTTGGATGACCATTGTGAAGTCTATTTATACTAAATGACAAAATGAATTTGAAGATTCCTCGATAAAGATTTCACAATAATCAAAATACTTCACAACAAGGAAAATTGTATCATCATATAATTAGTGGGCATTTTATGCGATGGGTCTAAAAAGTAAAAAAAGGTGATCATGACGTAAATGTGTATCTAATTTACTCATTTTTGTAATATCTCATTATCTGTTTTTGTAATATTTCATAACTAGTTGTGAAACCCATAAATTACATGGGTTAATTTAAAAAAAAAAAAAAAAAAAAAAAAAGTTAAATATAAATGTTTAAACATTTGATCACTTTAAATTTATAAGAAAATAAGAAAAATAATTAATTATTATAATAGAAATATTTTTTATCTTTTAAATTTAAACAAATAATTCAAATAAATAAACAAAAGAAATTAATAAGCTTTAATTTTGGAAACATTGAAATTAAAATATAAGTTTATTAATGAAATTGATATCCATTTATTATAATTATTATATTAAAATATTATTTTGAATATAATAAAATAAAAAACACATAAAATGATGTGGAAAAAAAATTCAAAATAACCATAAAATTACATTTGACAAATTGAATTAGAATGTGACAATTGGCATATAAAAAAAAAAAAAAAAAAAAAAAAAAAAAAAAAAAAAAAAAAAAAAAACTTAATTTATTCGTAGATTAACCATCTTGACATGTATTTGATTATATCAAATTTTCGTTTTTTCTAGTTTTACCGTTTGCTATTCTATAATCTACTCTAATAAATAAATATTTTTTTTGTCATTTATCACACTTTCATTCAATTTGTTAAATGTCATTTTGTGATTATTTTGAATTAATTTTTATTCAACATAATATTTTATAGTTTTTCTATTTAATTAAATTTCACATAGTATTTAAATATAATAATAAACGCATATTAATTTTCATAATAAACTTTCATTTTAATTCCAAAATTACTAAATTAAAGCTTCATTAATTTTCTTTATTTATTTTATCTAATTATTTGTTTAAACTTTAAGAAAAAATACATTTTAATTTTTATAATTCAATATTTTCCTATTTTTTTATAAATTCAAACTTATTAAATATTTAAAAATTATATTTAAATATTTCTTTTAAATAATATATAGATCTCATGATACCTAGTACATCTACCTAACAACTCTAGCTGCCCAAAAACATAGTTCCATGTTCACTTTCAACTTTCATTCTGTTCATTTTTTTTATTCTCACTAAAAAAATGCAATTCGTCTTATTACAAGTTTTTATATTTCAAGTAAAATTACCGAAATCATCCCTATGGTGTGGTCAAAATTGCATGTTTGGTCCTAAGCTTTTTTTACACTCGAATCGTCCTATGGTTTGATTTTGTTGCGTTTTTCGTCCCTTAGATACATAAACTTAGGGATCAAACGTGGAATTTTGACCAAACCATAGGGACGAAAAACACAACAAAATCAAACCACATGGACAATCCAAGTACAAAAAAAAATTAAGGACCAAACGTACAATTTTAACCAAATCATAGGGACGCTTTCAGTAATTTACTCAATTAACTAGAAACATGTATTCAAGTTTCTAGGGATAATGACCTGAAAGGGTAACGAACTTTCGACATTTGTCACATTTAATCACTAAACTTTTTTTCATTATCTATTTGACATTGAACTATTGAAACTGTTCACATTTTACCCTTATGACCGACTGTTGCCGGTCATAAGGGTAAAATGTGAACAGTTTCAATAGTTCAATGACAAATAGATAACGAAAAAAAGTTTAGTGACTAAATATGAACAAAATTGAAAGTTCGTTTCCCTATAAAAAGTTTAATGACTAAATGTGAACAAACCTCCTCTTGTATGATGTTTTAGCAATTTATTTATTTTTGTTAAATTGTAGCAACATTTGTTGATGAAGAAATCTATGAAATAAAAAAAAAGAAAAAACAAAACAAAACCCTGAAAATATATTTAAAAAAAAACAAGAAACCAAAACCGAAATAAAAAACCATTGGTTTGACATTTTCCAAAATAAAAAATCAAAATTTCCAATCTGATTTTGGTTTTACAAAAAAATGAACCATTCTCACTGATGTGAATTGTGACCATTGGTTTGGCATGAGAAATTTGTGACATTCCATGAATATGTAGTTACAACATCGTCTGAACTCGTAATTCATAGTAAGGGGTTAGAGTATCATCACATGAATACATAGTTATAACATCGCCTGAACTCGTAATTCATCACCTACAGATTATGGGCCTGCTGGTGTTTCCACTCGGTTGTCTAGATTAGTCCGTGGTCGCCATCTATACTCTGGTAGATGACTACATCGCCACATTGCTGGTTAAGGTTATGGTATCTCCTTTCATCCTACATCACATATTCATCATCATCTATTTACCTAATTATCACCACCTTTCTATCATCACCTATCTCTCATCATTTTATTTCATCACACACCAGCTATTTCATCTGCCCATGTTTCATCCGCAACATATTTGTAGATATAAAATAAATTTACCGTTTAAATCTTTTAAAACATGTATAAAATCGTTCATCCAGCATAGACAACAAGTATTCAAATAATATGCACACATAGTACGTAATTTATATAAAATATTTCATATCTATGTGTAAGATGAAAGTAACTATATATACCATAAATGTTTCCTAACTTTGAACCCCAAGGTTTACTCTACTAAAGCTTCATATTTTTTGGCTCTCTGAACCTAGAAGGGTCCAGATCTATCACACCAAAAAGCTCAAGATAGCTCTTCCTCTCACTCTACATACTCAAGCTCGCTAGGGTTCTCACTTATGGGAAAGGTAGTCGCAATTGAAGGCCATAAGTGCCTTTAAATATGGCTCGAGCCCAAAGATTTAGGGTTTTTGCCAACAACGCGGACTCGTCGAGTCGCCTCATCGACTCGTCAAGTCCATTCATTAATCCGAGTCATCAGTCGCGACCTTACTCGACGAGTTGAGACGTCAACTCGTCGAGTCTCTCTTCTTAATTCAAAAGAAAAATACTTAAATGATGATACCTGAAAATCCGGATGTTACATTTTGTTTTTTATTTCATAGATTTCTTCATCAACAAATGTTACTACAATTAAACAAAAATAAATAATTTTGGTAAAACATAATACAATAGGAAGTTTATTCACATTTAGTCATTGAACTTTTTAGAGGGAAACGAACTTTCGATTTTATTCACATTTAGTCACTAAACTTTTTTTCATTATCTATTTGCCACTAAACTATTGAAACTGTTCACATTTTACCCTTATGACCGGTAACAGCCGGTCATAAGGGTAAAATGTGAATAATTTCAATAGTTCAATGGCAAATAGATAACGAAAAAAAGTTTAGTGACTAAATGTGATAAAACTCGAAAGTTCATTACCCTTTCAAGTCATTATCCCAAGTTTCTATTACTGTTTAGCTAGTTGTATACTCCAAAAAGATAGAAATTTTTATCTTGGAATATACTACAATGTTTTGAATTGATTCTAATTTTTATTCATATATGTTTGCTTTTTCCATATTGTATGAAAAGCTTAATGCATCTGGTTTGTTTGTAAACACAAAGTATAACATTTTTGTCTGAAAACAATCAATTATTACCAACAATTATATCACTTCAAATTCCAAAAACATATAAAAAAGATTCCCCAAAAAGATGTTAACAAAACCAACAAGGCAACTTTAATATCATCATCATCCTCTCATCAATCATTACCCTCTTGCCACAATAATAATGAGCTAATAGAGATGTGATGGCTGTTTTGGGCCTCTACTATTAAGCCCAATTTACACTAAATCTCTACTCTACCACCCTATAATATTACGCTTGCTTCCATTGTCTTGAATACATGTATGTACCTTGAAAGCTTTAATTTGTCTTCATATACCACAAGTTGGCTGCATGCAGCTTGAAAACAATCCCCATTTTTTCTACAATTACGAAAAAAACCAACATAAACAACAAAAACACAATTCTATTTTGTCACCTTCTTCTCCATTAGATTCCCATTGGGTAGCTCCTACCGTTATTTTAATTTTTAACCATGGTTGATTGTTTTTATGGTTATAATAATAAAAAGAATCATTGACAAATGAAAACATTGTTGACTTTAAGAGTTTTAACTTGTGTGAATGGACAAAAATGTTAAATTACGTGCCTACAATTCCGGGTAATTCCATACAAATGTGTCAGCGGACTCGTGATGTGTGATCATTTCGTTTTGACAACCCATCGACATTAAATGAACCAGTACATGTTATCTATCACACACAACGTCACCCACGTGTGTGTGTTTGTGTGTGTGAGAGGAAGAGGAAGAAGGAGAGAGGTAGGGTCATTTTAGTCATATAAAGATAGGGTTATGTGAAATTACCTTTCTGGGCTTGGCACGGAGGAGCTCCGGCGAGATTCTGTACAGATCTTCGTCTACGGCTTTGGGTTTAACGTGCTTCTTTGGTTGTTGTCGCCGTCGTGGCGGTGGTGATGGTGGTGGTGGTGTTGCTACGCTGACGGGGCTAGGAGGCTCCTTTACGTCACAGTCGTAAGTGTAGTCGTATTCGTAGTCACAGACGACCCATGAGTCTTTTTTCCCTTCTTTCACATGCGGGTATCCCGCTTTACCCTGTTGTACCATAAAGTACAAGTCAAACTTTACCATTGAAAAAGCCAAAGAATTTTTACAATCATATTTATTTATGCATACTGTACTTGGACTCGAGAGATACAAAATTTGACTGTGAGAACCAGAAATTCAAATAGATTCTACAAGTGTAGATACAACAAAATCATATACAGAATGTATTTTCTTTTAAATTTTCATAAGAATGGTGATTTGTTCATACATAAGAAACGATAGGAGCATCATAGTTGTGAGATATCAAAAGAAATTTCAGTTGATAACAATGAATAGTGTCAATCTGAACATTATTTTTTGAATCTACAATGATTCATCCATGTGAGACAATATTTGTGAATTTTATAGAAAAAACAAAACGATGTAAACAGTAGTGAAATGAATTTAATGGTGAAAATTAGAAGGAGAAAGAAAATCAACTTACAGTGCGACGAGGAACAACAATCATAGCCGGAGTGACGACATTGTTGTCATACAAATCGCCGGTGACGTACAGATCACGATCTTCCGAATAGCTGTATCGAAGCAGTCCAGCTTGCCTCGCCGACTCAAAACACTGAGTGAACGGGAGATCGTTATCGCAATCCCAGCTTCCAAACGCGGGAACGTGGTTTCTCTTGTACTCCTGGAACGAAACAGAAGTTAATACTATAAACCAAACAATTTTACACTGAAACGGAAGTAATTGATCGATTACTTGCGCTTATTTTTTTGAATCTAAGAACAGAGTAAGTGAATAAGTAATAAGAACAGAGTATAAAACAAGAGCGTACGTAATCCATGGTGGGAATAAGCTTGAAATGGGGATCTCTGATTGAATCTAGGGGGGAGAGAGGGAATGTGGATTGAGATTTTAGGTGGTGTTAAAAGGCGGTTGATAGCTTTTGTAGCCGTGCAAAGACCATGGGGGACCTTTTATGGGGATAGAGTCGCACCCTGGTAACCCTACGTTTTTCTAAAAATTCAATTTACACCCTCGGAATGTCAATCATTTACAATTTGGTGTGTTTGTAGAAAAAATGAGAAATTATATGTTTTTTTTTCTCACCATGTTTGTGTGTGTGTTTATTGTGTATTTGAATTTAAGAAAAGTTGTGTATATTTTATGATTATAAATGTTACTTTAATTGGGGAGCAAAGCAAATTATGTTTAAATGGAATCTAATAAGAAACACGTTAATAGTGAGTGAACCTTTTTCTTTTAAAGGATGTGCTTTTGACCTTAAAAATTCAATCATCCAACCTTTTAAATATAAAAACAATGCAATTTAATCATCCAACCTTTTAACTTTTCAATATAAAAACAATGTAATTTTAAATTACTCTTTTTATTTTTATTGTATAACAACTAAATAATGGGCTACATTATTTAGATAACCTACACAAAGTTACATAAATAGTTACATTATTTAGACAGCCTACGTTATTTGAGCTCAATTAGTTTATCAATAGTTATTTTAGATAACCTACACAAAATTACATAAATAGCCCTTGTGCTTTTCTGGATTATTAAGTGTCGTTTTTAACTTTTTTTTTTTTTTTTTTTTTCTTTTTTTTTTATTTAGATAGTTCATATGATTTCTATTTTTTCGTGGTTGTTCCTCGACCACATAAAATAACGTTCCTATCATTTATAATTTATTTTGTCTTCTTTTAAAAGTTAATTTTACTTAAAAAGAAAATGAATATATATATATATATATATATATATATATATATATATATATATATATATATATATATATATATAGATAGGTTCAAATGTTTTTAGCAAATATTATGTGCCTAAATACACCAATTAGAAATTAGCAAATAATTAATTAATTAATTAATTAAATAAGGGTAAATTAGTAATATTACATATATGTATTAATGAATATCCAAAATTAACAACTGATATCCCTTTATTTAAGGGAATCAATTTTTATTTACCTATTAAAACCCTACACCACAAGAAGCTAGGATCCTACGCTCTCATCGGACTCCCACAATGTATCTTTCACCACCACACAATTCTCCGATCCTAATCTTAAATCCTACAAACTAAACAATCGAAGAACCATAACTGTATCCGCACTAAGAGCCGACACATTTGACGGAACAACACAAGCAGTCATCGGAGGCGGCTCGGTCGCAGCAATCGCCGCCGTGATTTCACTCGCAGAACCCGAGAAGCGCCGACAGTTGCAAGCGGAGGAGGTTGGCGGTCAGGTTCACGTTTCAGGTTCACTTTTCCTAATTTACACTCTTCGTTATCTCAATTAGGTCTTACAATTTCAATGCTTCGATTGAATTTGGGAGACAGTGATCTGTTAGGCGCTGGTGCAGTGAAGAAGGTGTATAGGGGATTTGATCAAGAAGAAGGAAGGGATGTGGCATGGAACCAAGTAAAACTAAGAAGCTTCGGTGGAGATCCATCTGTTTGCAAGAGACTCTTTTCAGAAATCAAACTGTTACAGACATTAGAGAATGAAAACATCATTGTTCTTTACAGTTTCTGGAGGGATACTAAAAACAGCACCTTGAACCTCATCATAGAGGCATGTGCTTTAGGTAATTTAAGGGATTACAGGAACTTTATCTCAGGTGTGTGTGTGTGTGTGTTTCAACTGATCAAAATTTTCTTTTTTCCACCATTAACATATGCGGTTAATAATGCCTGTCTCCTTTGCAGCTACATGTTTCAATGGGTCACAGTTTCGTCCATTGATACCCTTGTTAGAAGCCATGCCAAAGGAACTTGGTGCTAGCCTGCATGATACGCTTAATCTGATCACAGGTAATTTTTTGAAACAACATTTTGTCATGGCCTCCATGTGTTCGATAAAATGTCTCAATGAAAAAATAGTTAAAAATCATTAATGTTTTTACTTCACTTTGTTCCTTATTCTTTTCAGAACTATATAACTCAATTTAGATTGGGTTGGATGCCATTTTCATAACAATAGGTTGATGCTAGTTCCTTATTCTGTCAGAATTTGCAGTTAAATACATTGAGCATATCGAGAAGAAACACATGGAACCCGAAGAATGTTAGTTCCTTATTCTGTCAGAATAGGTTGACGCTAGTTCCTTATTTTGTTTGTTGGGTATATATTCTTGATAATACAAATTCTTAAAAAATATTCTTGCAGAATAGTTTATTTTGTAAGAATATTATTTGTTGTATTCTGATAGAATTGTAGTTAATTATTTGTATGTTTAATGTGCAGGTTTTACAAGTGTATCACTACAAATTACTTGGCAATGAATTTCTGGTAGAAAAGGCTTCAAGAATGGCTTGAAGACCTGATGGGAAATGGTTGAAGAATGAATTAAAGAATGATCACACTCATTTTTTAAGAATGTTGTTATTTTTTAAGAATTATACTTGTTTATTCTTTCAGAATGTTTGTTATTATTCAATGAATCACAATCATACAATGTAATTTTTTGATATATTATTAGTTCAAGAATCGATTTTGTGTATTCTTTCAGAATGTATTTACTAGTTTATGTTTGGCATTCTACCATTCTGACATAATAAAATCGAAAAATACATTTACAAGTTTATGGTTGACATTCTATCATTCTGACAGAATAAAATCGGATTTTTAAATTTAAATTAATTTAAAATATTCAGATTTTTAAAAAATAAAGGAATTAATCATCCCTAAAAATCCGAAAATTTCCTTTTTTAATATAGGTTAAATGACTAAAATGCCCTTATGCTGAAATTTGTGTGATTATATGGTACATGCTATCCTATTCTACTACCATAGACCCTCAAATCATGACATTTGATTATATTCCATCCGATGGTCCAGATCTGTTCATTCTGGCACACAATAGTTAGTACAAACAAAATAACCTAACCCTATATATATATATATATATATATATATATATATATATATATATATATATATATATATATATATATATATATCTTCGCTATTTCTCTCTTCTCTTTCTTTCACATTTACCTTTCTTTTTCCTTACCATATTTCTCTTTCTTATCTCTATTCATTTCCTCTCTCCACACCTCCCTCCGACAATTGTCGTTGTTGTCGCCAGACCCATCTTTCTATATCTTTTTCGATTGTTGACTTGTCGTTGCCCTTCTCCATCTTCAATCTCCCATTTTCGGTTTTACTTTGGGTACACATAACCTTCTTCTTAACCACCTCCATTTTTAACTTTTGCTTAAATTTACATGGCATTTTTAAGTTGTAGGACATGTTTTATGTTTCTCTCTCTCATTTCTTTCTTTTTTCATGAATTTTAAATGGTGTTTTAGGCTGGCATAACTACTTTTTCGACAGCATTGTGGGCGTTTTTAGGTTGGCAGATCCAATACGACTCCTTGTGAATTAATATAGAAGAGTTTGAGTGCAACATCTAGCTTATTTTGTATTTTTGTTTTGTGAATATTTGTACAAACACTCTATAGAATTTAATGGATTTTATTTATTTATTTGAGATCTTCAAATTTTGAACTCAATTTATTCTTTTGGAAATAAATATTTACCATATTCTTGCACCACCATCCAAATGCTCCAACTGATTTTATATCAACAAAGACAATAACATGAAAATTTGTGATTTTAAAGAACCATTCCAAGTGCAATTCTATTCAACTCACTTGAATGAAACATTCATGATAGTTGCATCTAGTTATACTAAATTTTGCAATTTTAGGAAATTAAATCCAACTTTAGACTTGATTTTGAATGCGTGTGAAATTAAAATTAGGAAGAAAGAACTCGTACGTGATATATTGTAGGTGTAACTGAGCGAAAATAATAAGGATGAATAAAGATGGTGTGGTATGCATGTTGTAACATAATAGTGACTCGTTTGGTGGTTTCTAATGACAATGATGAGAGAGAGAGAGAGGGAGAGATTCAATGTGTGTGTGAGCTATTGAGAGAAAAAGAGGGATGATGATGTTCGTAAGTAAGGAAACAAGTGTAAATCTATCATCTATCATATGCTAACAAAAGAGTAGTTCTTTTGCCAAGTGTCATAATATTAGATCTCCTAATTAATATGATGCCACTTGTTATTCTATTAATTCTCTATTTTAAATTGATTAAACCTCCTAATTAATGTGATTCTATTTGTTTAATATATATGGAAAATTAACTCCACATATTTATTTGAATCAATGATTAAATTTACATAATTAATAATAATATCTTTTAATTAATAACTTATTTAAAGTTTTATATAAAATAAATGATTAATAATTTTGAATTTTTTACAAGTTTAATAATTTTGTAACCGTGGTTCTCACGGGTTATAAACTAGTGATATGTATAAAGGGATGAGATAAATGGTCCATCTTCTTTTATTATTTTTGAAATTAAAATTGATTTAAAAACCGATTAACAAATAAAAAAAATGGTAAAATAGACACTTTATATGAGCGATGGAAATCATAAGGAGTAGGGACCATCTATGTAGCGAAAAATATAAAAATAAAATCTAGTTCTCCTAATAAATGAAACCTTAAAATGGTACGTGTAAGTTTTTTAGAATGTCTCTTTGACACATATCATTTTACTATGATTTTTTTTTGTAACAAATCAAATTCAATTCAAATTCTGAAAATACAAAATCATATCCTAATAACATTATTATGTTTATTTTGCTTAATAAATTAATTTATAATTACTTACAATTGACAATATCTTTGTTCTTTTTACATTTATTATTTTTTTATCTATATAAAATTTTTAAATATAACAACCGTGGTTTCCACAGGTTATAACTTAGGTTAAAATATAAGAAACCATAAATTCCATTTTTATAAATACTTCAATAAAAAAAATCTTATTTATACGTTATTTAAATGATTTCACCAATAATGAATTACAATAAGCTTGTATATATAACTAGGTGTGAGACCCATGTATTACATGAGTTTAATTAAAAAAAAATAAATATGAAATTTTAATAATTTAAATAGTTTGAATTTATAAGAAAAATAAGAAAATTTTTGAATTATTAAAATTAATGAGACTTTAATGTATTGAATACATTACATATATAAATCATTTCTAATAAATACTTTACATATATATTACCTTACATATTAAATGTGAAATTTTAATTTTATAAAATGAAAAATACAACAAAATGACAAGTGGAAAATAGAAAATATAAAAGTTCTAGAAAATGTCATGTGTCGAAATGAATAAGAAGATGACATGTGGCAAAAAAACTTTCATTTATTATAGTAGATTAATAAATTACGAGAAACTAAATTTTCTTATACATTTTGTTTATGTTTGTGTGAAATCCATTAACTCATTCTTCGTTATGATATTTATCTTTGGTCAAAAGAATAAGTGATTAGTGACAACAAAAGTTAGATTAATATTAAATTTCTCATAAGCTTTTTCAAATAACTTAGTATTATTATTTTTAACTAAAAAATTGTTACATGATTCCAAAAACTACTGTCTTACAATATTTAAATTGTTATCATTCAAAACATTTTTTTTCATATTACTAATTTACGATCACCAACAAGTATTCATTTTGAAATTTACTAAATTCTTTCACATATTAGTCCATGTAATATCATTGCTTCTAATATGGAAAACTTCGTAAAGAGAAGAATTCAGGTATTCAAAACTGTTGGTTTGGAAACGGTTCTAAAATCTTAAACGGCTCCAATTCTGGTTCTATTTCAAAAACCTACGGCTCTAAAGAAAATATTCGGTTGATCGGTTCTCGTTTATACTCATCCCTAGTAACTATGACTTTAATGACCCCTAAGGCATTATTAGTTTTATAAATAAAATCACTATTTCTATATATAAAACACTAGGTGTAAGACATCCTCCTTAATAAATGATTTTTTTTTATCATATGTCAATCTCTCATGAGTTTTGATACTCATATTTTTAAAATAAATATTATCCACTTGTTAATTTTTTTTTTAAAAAAAATTAAAGTCATATTTATATTTGTAAAGTATTAAATATCATATATATGATATGATATTAAATTACAATAAATATATTTCTTTATTTCTTATTTTAAAGTTTAAAGTTGTATATTAAAAAATATTTTCTGTTTATTTTAATTTAATGTTTAATTTTTTTTAAATCAACCCATGTAATACACGGGTATGACACCTAGTATTTATTACATAGTTTTCTTTAAAAGAAATATTACATATAAAATTCTAAACATTTGAAGTTTAAATTTATAAAAAAATGTGAGAAAAATATTAAATTATTAAAATTAAAGTGTTTTTTCTCTTTCAAATTAAAAAAAATAATTTAGATAAATAAATAAAAGAAATTAATGAAGTTTTAATTTAGTAATTTTGAAATTAGAAGGAAAATCTATTAACAAAATTAGTATGCTTTTATTATTACATTTAAATATTATGTGGAATTTAATAAAATTGAAAAACCATAAAATGACAATTGCAAAAAAAAATAATAAGAAAAAACCATATGAGATAATGTATTAAAAAATAATAAATGAACAAAATTATTTTCATTTTTAAGAATGACACATTCAAATACATCTCTTCTTGTCGCTCTAGTAACATAATAGCTTTGGTTGCTAATAGCATGGAGCCGGTATATTTGGCTTCTAACTATAAATGGTTTATCTTCCTCAAAACCACTAGCTTTACAAATAATAACTAGTTTTTATTTTTATAAAATCAATAGTTCTTTTGTAAAGGAAAGTGAACTTAAATAGTCTAAAGTGACGAGTGTTATTTACTAAGAACATAATGAATGTATAGTAAGCATCGCATTCGTTTCTTTTTATAGAATACTATGCAACTTATTAGACATTATCTTGTAATTTCAAGAGGATAAAGGGAACAAGTTTTTTATTAGGGTCATGTAAATAGTGTTACACAATATGGATTTATATTATATAACTTTGGTGATTGATATAATAGCAATTCATAATACTTCAATTGTTCTCACAAATTTACTTTTCCTTTTTTCAAAATTGGTTTGCATAACCACAAATGAGAGTTGAACTTGTGTTGGCTCTTTATTGGTTTGCAATACCCTACCAACAACTATGAGGCTGAGGGATTTGACATTGAAGAAAGGGTTTGTAGGGTATGGTGGTCAATGCAATTGCAAAGACACAGGTGATATAAAGGCTATCCCTTTTGAAGGCCTAAGAGACCTAAGCAAGAGAAATGTACAAGTATGCTTGCATGAAGTACGTGTGGCATGGAATGGTTTCTCATGAAATGGTAATTAAAGGTTTGGAAGAGGTAGGTAGGTAGTAGCTAAAAGAAAGAAAGAAAAAAACTTTTAAGGTGTGATAGTGAATGAAGCAAGAGTAGAAGGGAGTATATTGCTTTATGGCTTTAATGAGGGGTATTTGTCAGTGGATTTTATTTAAAGTTTGAAAGGTGGGGTAAAGGGTTTATACTTCCTTCTCT